TGTAATTTGTATCTCACAATCACAACTTCTTGTGATTAACAAATCACCAAAACTTGAATTTACGGATTCTATTATTTAATTTATTAGAATATTAATTCAATTAAATAATAGATATTGTCATACATATGTATCGATTATATATATTTAAAGTGTTTATGTCCAATGTTGATTGGATATAGGGCATAACACTTACAATAATATCTCTCACCTCTTAGTAGTATCATATTGAGCAATGTAATTTTAAATTTGAATTTTCATATGTTCAGCAATATGATTTAATGCCGCCCGTTTTGAATGTCTTGAAATTTTCAGTCACATATTCAGAAAAGGAAAGTACATTATATAGTATTTTTGAGATTCTAATGGAGTTATATAGGAATTTTGGTTATTATTTGGGTTTAATGGTATAAAATAAATTATTATATATTAGTTAGGTATATATGAATTTTTCCAAATTCAACAGACACATTCATCTTGTGCTTTTCGCAGTTTACAATTCATAAAATATATGTTATATTTTTTCATATTAAATCTTGTTAGTTGAACTATTTTTAGTTTATTTGTGTTTGTTAATTGTGATTTTTCAATTATTTCTTCTAGAGTTTCTTAGTGCGAAAAGTCAAGCAGTGAATGATTAATATAAATTGTTAGTAAGTGCAAACAATCCTTCAAATTAAAATATTTTATTTCTATAACTAGTAATTTATATTCCTTTTTTTTTTTTACGTAGATTTGAAGACTTGAAGCAAAAGAATCAATGAGATGGAATCATAGATATTTTAGTGTTATTATTTATTTTTTTGGTAATTTGTATAACAGTGAATGGATCTCATTAGACAACTTATTATTGGTATATTTTTAAATTGAACTATGTTATTTTATAAAAATTAAGATGGAACATATCATTGGTTGGATTAACGTAGTCTTGTTGTAAATGTTGAAAATTTAATTAGGCGAATCAAATTGAATTGAACGGATCGGTTCAATTCCAGAATTAATTTTGGACTCCTAAGGTTCAACTTACTAAATACTTAGAAATTCTACTTCAATTCGGTTCTCTTTAGAACCGAACC